AGGGTTTCGTAGCGCGTGTCTTAGAGTGCTTGATTGAGATGTTAGAAGGGATAGAGTGCATGGCCAACGAGCTGTGGGATTAATTGAAACAATCAAACGACACCCGTTTCTACGTTGCACTTAGCGGCGACAACCGCGATGTCTGCTTTTCGAAATCCACCATTTTCGTGTTCGTCATGATGATGGCGAGAAACAAGCAGCTCGCATCACCCTTCCGCGGCTTCGTGTTCCGAGGCCAACTGCTCGAGGGTGTTGATTCCTCCACGTAAAACACGTTGTGTATGCGGATGACGCCTCCTTCTGATTCTCCGTCTCACAACTGACGGACGGAACTAGAGCTGTCGACGCATTCTGTGCAGATGCCGGGCAGACATCTTTGCACATCGCAATCCTATTTATCTCATCGCAAACACTCTAGAAAGGTGAGAGTGGCATGCCCAAATTTGGCGAAACCTGCTGGCACATCCCACACAATCAAAAGCAACCACAGCCTGTCGTGGACGCTCTTCGCCGCGTGGCAGGGGAGGATGTCATGGACACTGCGCACAATTTTGTAGGTCGTGCTGATTTTTTCTCCTGCTCTTGCGATCAGACGAGATTCAGATACCGCGTACGGACAGGATGAGCAAAGTGCTCAAGCAAACGCACGAAGGTTGAACTGTACCCTCAGCTTCCTGTGATACAGTGCCATTTGTACTATCACCATAATGACGAATAGCATAATTTGACGCACTCGATTGACATACATACGCAGATATAGCATACGTGTCGTCAGTTCCGTGCGGGACCTCAAACAGAGAACCACCGTGTCTTCACTGAGCCGATGAAAGAACTACGGCGTCTTTACTGAAAAGTTGATGAGATCATCGATGTTCTCATGGGTTTGGTGGATCAATCCGCCGAGTCGATAGAAGCTTCGATCGGTGTACATGTGCCATACTTTGTGCTACAAAGTGTGTGTGCCACCTGCATCCATGCACAGGAAGTAACTGGCAGGGCATCGACAGCAGTAGCAGGAATATTAACTCTTTCACCCGTCTAACTACAGAGCGAGGCGATATCCCCTTGCTGCTGTCGCCCTCTGCTGCTGTGTTGAACATGAATTAAGCGTTCACCTTAGCCATAAACCGTTGGAACAGCCGTTCATCGCTCTGACTGAAAAACGTGTTGTCCCAACGGAACCAGTTCTCTCCCTCTACAAGCTGAGTGAGGAGCATTCCTCTTCTGCAAAAGAGCACGGAACAGGAGTTTTCCGTTCCCATTGTACCTTATGAATAAATCGCTTTGAATGTTTCCTGAAAACTTGAAACGTACACCATCCATCCAAAACACTTAAAAATACTCTGGCACAACTCTGTACGATACGTGCACGATTGCTGATTGGTCAGCAATCGTACATAAAACGTGGCTGATTCACTGTACGATGTCTGATTGGTTGACTACACTACAGTACCGTGAGCATCTCATCGCGCGGGCTCGTCTCTCTAAGGCACCTGCTCAGATTCGGCTCAAAGAAGTTGCGAATGGTAGGCAAAGGGGGCTGGAGCGCAAACAGGGCACATTTCACGGTCATTGCACCATTTGCGAGAAGCGTGGGCGGGAGTTAGTGGTTAGTGGTGAAGGGGGTGGTGTTGTACGTCACATGTAGCCGGATGTTTGGTGCTTGTAGGGCGACACGGGCATCGCTTTCGCGCGTTTTTCTTTTGCTGATGGGCACGTGCGACCGTGGCACACACGCGTGAAAATGTTCAGGGCCCAACAATGATCTGAGGCGGAGAACAGCAGTAGAGAATGAAAAGGCGCTGCAGTAAAACTTCAAACTGGCTTTAAAACTCGAAATCAGCTCCGATTCTCTTCGTTTGTTTTCACAAGCTTTAGACTGGTCGGGCACACACGTCTGAAAACTTTGAGCCTCATCGGACAAAATGGCGATGCGTTTATGGCGCAAACGTCTGCACTTTTCCACCAACTACTGCTTCTTGCTTGCGCCTAAAAATCCAAATCTTCTCCGAATAAATTGACTTGGCAACATCTTGGATGTGGGTCATGCATGGGCACACGCCCATATTTGTTTTTGGCAGGCGATACTTTGGCGCCGAGTTATAGACCCGAACGTGTGCTCGCGGAGAACAACCCCTCTAATTTCAAGTGATTAGCGTGCGGGGGTTTGGGCACACCCCCCTGAAGTTCAAAGTACACGTTTGGGAGCATATGGGCACGTGTGACACCCACAACATCTGATTCCGAGGGATGGCGGGATAGAAATGGTTGATAACACCCCCCGTGTTATCCAAGCGAACACCTCCGCACTTGCGCACGTCGGTGCGAAAACAAGAAACGTGAGAGGGGCATCAAAAACAAAATTTCGAGCGCTGGAGGTCACTCACACACCTATGGGGACGCATCTCTGGCGTTTCTGCAGTCCATGGTGGCGTCTGGTGGCTTTTATCGCGCTTACACAATTCTTACATGCGCATGCCAACACAGACCGCTGTGTCAGAGACCCGCGCACTTGAAAACACGCAGACTACTCGTAACCACACCTTCCTTTTCCACAGACGCTTTTAAGGTCACTGGATACCACTCTTGCTGCTGCGCGGCTCACTTCTGTTGCCGTGCTATTTTGTGCAAGGGTGTGAGCAAAAGGGTACGCACCACTGGCGCGGCGGTGGTTCGGGTTCTAAAAAATATTGTTTCGGTTCGGGACGTGGTGAGGATCAGTTATTTTAAATCTCGGTATCTCGTCACTATGTGCCCCGATTGACCTCGGGATTTTTGCTGTCGATTTGTATGAGCCGAGGGCATCACATGCACGCTTCGCCAGTTCGTGTCGTAGTCGGGTAGATCCCGTTCTTTTGGAGCTGTGAAAATGTATGATTGCTGACGTATTGATCACCCCATTCTCTCACCGCGGACTGAAGTTAGAACCCCGTCATCTTTTCCTTTTTGTTTGTCTCCCATTTTTCTTTCCTTTTTTTTTCTCGCAATTCCCTCTCCTTTCCCTTCGCTTCCGATGGATTGGTTGGAATGGCCCCCGAACGACAGCTGCTGTAGCGAGGCAGGCTACGCTATTCCGGTGATGGGCTGGTTGAACTCCTGCCCGAACGACAGCTGCTGCAGCGAGGCAGGCCACGCTACTCCGGTGATGATCATCGCATCTCTCGGGCTCTCCTCACGCAAACTGCTGTTATGTTGACAAAGGCTACATACACCCGCGTGAGTGATTCGTCGTGGCCCATGGGTGCTGGGGACTGGTTGAAAAAGAACCCGCAGACGAGATGCTGCAGGGCGGCCGGCTACACGACTCCATTGATGGATTGGTTGAACTCCTCCGCGAACGACAGCTGCTGCAGCGAGGCAGGCCACACAACTTCATCGATGGGCTGGTGTTGAACCTGTCCCCGAACTCGAGCCTCTGCACGGAGTTCGGCCACGCAACTCCGATGATGGACCGATTGAACCTATTTTGTGCTTGTTGTGTTGAACCCCATCCTACATGGCCGGCCAAATTAAATAAATTAGCGTGAGTTTACTGCTGCGAGGCGTGCATGTTTTTCTGAAGCTGCCTACAGTACATACTTCTTGTAGGATGTGACCACAAAAAGCATCTCTGTCACTTGGATGAGCAAGTATTGTTTTCCGGTGATGGGCCGAGGTTGGGGCCTTGTCATGTCGATACACAAAAACCAGTGTTTAATTTTGAAGTGCCGAACACACACACACCCCTATACAGCGCTTATATTCGGATACAGTAAGCTGTTGTTGTTGTTGTTGTTGTCGTCGTCACATTAAAAACCATTCCGACCTCTCCACCGAGTGCCTTCATCTGTCCGTACTGGTCAGACACATGACGCGGTCGATTCCCGCAGCCACAAGTTGACTTTCCTAAAATAACGTACTAAGACAAAGGTATACTGGAACAATATGTCCGTTAGATGGTCTTATCCACTAGACTACTCAGTCAGCCGCTGACTGAGTAGTCTAGTGGATAAGACCATCTAACGGACACAATAATGGACTTTGACGGTTGCAAAGCGAAAACAGCGTGTCTGGGATCCACCGCTCCCCTCTACACGCGATGTGAGTGAGAAATAAACACAGAAAAAGTCAAACAACAAACATCATCAACTAGCGATTTACATACATCCTTGCTTCTATCTTCGTACCCCTATAAAGCTGGGATATTCTTGCTGGGTTCTCACCAGCCATGCAAATAACCCACCACTCTCTGCTAACTTGAACACACGGAAGGCAAAACCCCGTGTTATCGACGTACAGATGCGGCCCCCACTTAAGAACTTGGCAGTCAAGAACTTCAGGGTTCAATTTTCTCGGAATTTTAGAACTTGAATCCCACCTACGCTAAAACCTATACAGCAGCTCTGATAATCCACAAAGAAAATAAGAACTCACAGGGTTACGCAAATAAGCGGTTCTTAAGTGGGGGCCGCATCTGTATCAGGCCTCCACTAGCACAAACGAACGCAAAACAAAAACAAACTAAACCACGCCATCACCCCTGAGGGGGTGGTGCAGCAGTGCAGCAGTGGAGAAGGTAGACACGTCAAGAGTGCTCAATCGTACATATTGTGCTACTCGGTCTACCTAATATCTCTTGTATTCATCGGCCCCAGTTGCGCCCTCCTTCCGCCCCTCCCCTCCCGGGTTGGTTGTTGCCATATATACATTTTTGCTGGGTTCTTTGAACCCGATAAACTCAGTAGACCCTCTCCCAAACGTCCGAAGACATCTGCGCTACTCCTTTTCAAGGCTTTCATCCCCACAGCAACAGCCAAAACCTCACAAAAACGTTCTTCACAGTAGTTTCCTATGGATACGTCACAAGCGGGTTTCCCCTTCAAACCACGTAACGCTTATTCCCGCGAAGCAGCGCACCTGGCGCGCCACTCCAACACCGTTGGCCAACATGGCGTCCAATACGCTGATTGCGAAGCAGCTGAAGCTCAAGCGCAACCATACGATAAAATCCCTCTTCCCACTGCTCTCTCGCTCTCTCTTTCTCTCCGCCCTGCTCCTGAGCCATGCTCTGTACGCCCAGACTCTGTTCGGGCCCTTCTCTCGAGAGAACGGCTCATCCGTGGTGTGGCCCGCGCGCACCAGCAACACCTTTGCCCCTCGGGAGAAAAGAGGCATCATAGCTAACCCAACGTATTTCGCACAAGAAATTTTCTTCGCTTTTCTCCTCGAACCAAATCTTCCACGGTAGGACGTGGAGGGGGTAACTAACATGACCGACGACACTCGGGGCCACCCTTGACTTATCCCCGATTTGTGCATCACTGGCCATGCAAAGTTCAGACCGAACAACTTCGTTCAACCTTCTAGGTCGCGCATTCTGAGAGCTGCAGAATCAAACATGGCGCCCAATGACAGTACACAATGTGCTGCGGTGGTCGCCTGATTCTGGAAATTTGTTTGGTGGTGATATTCTATGGTGCTTGCGGTGGTAGCTCCTCTAAGGGGATTATTTTGATGGTGGTGGTGGTGGAGATGATGGTAGCGCCAGCGGCTGCAGTACCCGGGTTGGCAGTGGTCTGTCCTACGGCTTGGGTCTTTGTGGAATTCGCCATCGCAGTCCCCGTAGAACATGCCTTCATGCAGCTCCGGAATCCGAGTGGCAGCGTGATCTAGAGGATCGGCCGCGAACAGCCGGCAGACAATGTCCACACGCGGGGGGAACGAAGTCAGGAGTTCTGCAAAAGGCAGCATGGGGGAGGTGTATGGTGGACAAAGTGCCCGTAAGGGCAACAGCTGTGGGACCTACGTACTACATTTGTAGGCAGGCGCCTTCAGGTATCGTTCAGTGAACTATGTAGCTTCAAGCTTGCGGAATGACTATCAACCTCAGGAAGATCGTGTTGGGAGTGACTAACGAGCGTCGACACTTGCAATACCTAGGTGAGACGATCGCCCCGATAGGTCAAGCAACGCCACAGACAAGGTTGCTTGGTTTCCGACAGGTGTGGACTTAAAGAGGTCCCCACAAAATTGATTTGTACTTGGTTCAAACCTCATGCCATACCACTGCTGCCACACCACTGCTGTGGTATCTATCTTCGATGTTTGAAATCATCGGGGCCAGGGACAACTTCATCGCGGGTAAGACCCACCTCCGTGAGGCAGAGCGTCCCAAGACTATTAGCCGCTAACGCCACGTCCCTGATCTGAGCAGACTGTGTGGATTAAGGATACGCATGCAGGAAAAGAGCCCTTCATATGCCGATGAACGCATAGTATCCGTGGGAGACGGTTGATACTTGTTTTATAAGTTTGATGAGAGGCGTTGAGACAGTCGTTTACTTTAAATAGCCCTCTAGCCCTGAACTCATAGCCTCATACCCACAGTACAGAATGTGGCCCTCGCCTCAGAAAACAACTCAAGAAACGCGAAGACTCAGCTTGGAAAAGGAGTGACCTTAGCTAAATCTACGATACATGTACCGAAACGTGCCCCTTCGTGTTGTAGATACCGCGCCCACCAACCACGCCGCCGATAACGGATGCGTGTTGAACACACCATGGGGATTTAAGAGGTGGCCATTGCCGTAACACAATCAAGCCAAGCGCGGGCTTAAAAATGCATACATTATATCTGCAAAGCTCGATGTTCCTGGAAAAGTTCACATTCCGAAGCCAGACATCCTGTGACCACAAAATCATGTTGTCCTGGTCTGAAGTATTGACAAAGAGGTAGGCTGCCGAAAGAAAAACGTGTTTTTGAACAAAAACGGTCCATGCACATCAATACGGCCTCAACTTCAAAAGTCAGCCATCACACGATGAAACGCACTTTTGAGATGATCTCGTTCGGACGCTTGATGTCAAATACACGAGGATTTCCATGCCACTCGGCTAAGGAAATAGATCGAAGTACTTGTGCTTAGAATGGGTATTTGAAGTCGTATGTACGTCAACATGGAGGATAAGTACACGTCATGGTATAGGGTCCGACAGTCTACCAATCGCACCTTGTTGCTTTCAACAGATTCGCGCAATAAGGCAATCACAACAACCAGCGTGGTGATCGCGTAGGAGATGACGATTCCAGCTGTGCAGAAGACGTTGCGCAAGACCACCCTCCTGTAAACGGCACCCCCTGACTGAGCACCTTCGACGCGGACTAGCATAGGCTGAACGAACAGCCCAAGCAGCAGAATGAACTGCGAATACGACAGGCAATACGGAGGGAGGGGCTGAAGCCACACCCGCATTCGTCAACAACAACCGACGTCGCAGATCGGTTGACAACGTGGCGGTGTACCTGGGATGGTTTAAGGAGTTCGCACGCGCCGATATGATTGCCGTTTGAGCTTAAAACTTTGCATACCATACGGAACGTAGAACTGATGCGGACGTGAGAGTATCCAAGGCGCTCGTTTCTACATAGTTCGCAGTAAATACAGACAAAGGAGGATGACAGCGTGAAAAGGGCGTTGGTCGTTACCAACTCCCGTTTCGTTGACGCCAAAAAAATAGCCCAGGCTTTAGGAGAGGATCACCGGGTAGGTGCAAAGATTGTACGCACGTTTTCACGACCTCACCAGCTGTCAAACGGCCTAGAAACTCACCTGAACGACCAACAAAACGTTGTTGATCCCGAAGGATTGAGCGTTATTGGATGTGGTCAATTCTGAAGCACCGGTTGGAACAATTCCGTTGTAGCAAAACGTCCCCTGTTTTGCGAAAAACGGGTTAGATGGTGTGAGCCTACCGTTGGATGATTGCTTTGATAGCACAATTTGGATTGTCAAGCAAGAGGGGGCATATTTTGGGTTCGTGGACGAAACCACTTGGAAGCTCCTTGATGTAAAATGGCAGCTTACCGCAGGATCGGTGCCGCCGGGGAACCTGGTACCCAGCATGAGAGCCATGAGGGGGCTGCGAACATGCAGAAGTTTCGGGGAGGGTTCATTCGGATATCAAGTACAGTATTCAGGGTACGTGGCCACCTGATGAAATAATTTTGAATGTGTTGCCGTTGTGGACCGCCTATAACTATCTACTGATTTTCAGCGGCTAGAGCTTTTGGGATATATAGATAAGTTGCCTTTATGCACTTTCAAAACCTAAATGTCTTGAGTCTAAGTCCCACTACATGTACTTTCGACACCAGGTGGCCAATGCGTGATTTGCTACCTACGGGACGTGAAAACAGTTATTTTGCAACCCACCGTGTCTACGCGTGCAATATGCACTGCTGCTTCAGACAAACCAGCGTCTGAACCAACGCAGCAAGCAGGTGGTGTACGGATTTTACTCACAGGTACACCCATCCGTACAACCGCGACCACCAACGAATGGCCTTCTCCCACCAAGCGAGCATCCTGTTGCCATTGGTTACGTTGACCTTGCCTAGGAGAAAGACTACCACGCTCGCCTGGTGAGTTACAGAGAATAATCAAGATTTTCTTATCTCGTTGGCGTCTTAAATTGAGCTGCATATTTCCCCCAAAACATACGCCATTTTGCTGCGCCTGTGTTGAACATGCGATGTTGTGTTTCTCGTTGGCACCAAAAATATGACAAGTTTTAAGCGATGACGCACAACCAGCGACGCTGTGCAAACAAATAAGACAAGCGGAATTAATCACAAGGGGCTGATATCCCGATCTCACCCAATATCCTTCATAGCGGCAACTAAACAGAATATCGAATGTTGCGCCGTAACCAAGAGCTAAGGCAGCATCACTGGCACAAGAAGCACGACTTGCGCTACATAGCAGTCGCGCAAGCAGTCAGATATTCACTCACATCAACGAGCATGAGCATACCCAGCATGATTCGATGGGTCACTATGCAGGACATGTCTGAAACAGGTAGCAGGTACTTGGCAACAGCCCCACTCTGGCTTAAGGCGGATGCCACGTGCGTGCTCAGAAGTCGGAGATGTAGGCTCCTGACCAACGACATGATGACAGGAGGGGAGAACGAGGGGACGCCACGGTTGAGACACACAGTCTACCTCATACGGTACATGCAGAAGGGTTGCATCGAGCGTACTGAAGCGACGAACGCTACGTTAGCCCAGGTAGCCAAGAGCGCACAACTCCAACCGGTGAGTGACTCCAAACATTCTTCAGGGATAAGCGTAGCTCCGGGGGAATATTTTAATTAGTATCAAGTGCAGCACGTGTACCGCGTTTATCTTGACAACGCCAAAATTAGCTAAGTTGCCGAGAGGCTAGTTGTGCTTCGGATCTGTGTGAGATAGAGGTATGTACTTACTGTAATTTGATGAGTCTAGTCCTCCGAATTGTGTAGATAGGTGCTTTCATTCGGCGGAAAAACTTCCGTCTTGAAATCACCAGGTAGTCGGGGGTTAGGGTGATTCTTGAAGTAATTTCTGGGTCAAGATTCAGCCACAAATCCGCGACAAACAATCGCAATGACGATTCCTACCTGAGAATTGACACAAACCCACATTGCCCCGAGGGAGAGCTGAAACAGTAGCCACGACCATTGCATGTACCGTTTGAATCTCGTGAGGCTTTGGAGTGGTGTGTGACGAAAAGTGCATCTCACGACGTGCGGATGAGATCAGCGCCTACAATGTCTCATCACCACACATCGGCACATGATTCCTTAGGCACCCCACTCGGGCCTTAGTGCGCAGAACGATCCTGCAGTGCTTGCGTGTACGGGATGAAGCTTATTGGCTGCTACCCAGGTGATACACGATGCATCACAACAGCAGCTGCATGACTCCCCCAAATTTCCAGTGGCATCGCCCTTGCTTCGGGCACCCGTCGGAAATGTCTAGAAAATACCTCCTGTGTTTTACATTCTCTAGCCATGGTACTGCCGCTTCCAGGGTATTGAGGATATTTCTGTATACCCTGGCAAGATGGCAGAGAGGCTGTGTCCTCTACGCTAGTAGAGTTGGTGACACGTGCGAGCGAGTAGCCTGGAAGACGAGAGTCCTTCCACCGTGTGAAGAAGAGCTGAGATGTTGTAACACTGGCGCTTAGTTGGCCAACACACACAGATATAAACCACAGAGTACGCAGGAGCCCAGATAACGGCTGCGTCCTAGAGATGACGAGGACGGCTACGATGCCATGACAATCCGGAAGGATCCACACGAGAGAGTGATCGACTCGGCTAGCAAGCAGAGATCCTACGGAAGTAATTCCGCCGCATACGCATATGTACATTACATTCGAACCGACACATGTGAGATCTACGATTACAAGAGTAGTGCTACTGAACATTGTATTAGATATATTGGGAGTACTCGTAGCATAGTATGACGGTTGAGATGTCCGGTACGTACGTACGAAAGTAACAGTGATGAGATGCGGAGGGATAGGAACTTTCTACATATATTCCTTGGTTGCGAGAGGTATTTGGTGGAGATTCAGAGAGATTCGTTGAGTGACAAAGAGTGAAGGCGTGCCCAGATACCGTGAAGGTTTGACGAGCACTGGCACGCCCCCGATGAATACAATACTTTCCAATACTTTTGCTTTACGTTTTCAACACGTTTCCTACCCATCCACGCTCCGCCATGAGCCACCCGCTTTGAGCTCCAACCACAAAGAACCAAGCCACCCGAATTATCGATCACGCTAGCGTATGACACGTCGTCTACGAGATTCGCGGTCGAGCTTGGTTTAGGAGCATCGCCTTGCGGCGATCGACAGCAGGGTCAAGATGGCCTCCAGGCGCGAAGATGAATCCCGCCCAGCAGCGGAAGCCCGCCAAGCAGCGGAGGACGCCAGGATCGAAGAACTGGTCAACGAGCGAGTAGCAGCTCGGATGGAGCAGCTGATGGAGGAGAAACTGGCCAAGAAGATGGCCGAGATGGAGGTGCGGCATCGAGCCGAGCAGCAGCGGGGAGGAAATGAGGAACAAGAGGCAGCACACCAGCAAGATCCTGGGCGCCCAACACCCAACCCCTCCGCAGACGAGCTGGCAGACGCGATTGCTACTGCCATGGCCGGTCGCCTCCAAACCTCAGGGGATATCGGTGCAGTGTCTCACCCTGCAACCCTCCGTATGACTGAGAGTAGACGAATAGAGCCTTGGGATGGTGTGTTCAAGTCGGGGGACAGTAGGCAGCAGAAACTTTTGATTTTTCGATCGAGCATGGTAGCACGCTTTGCGCAGGAGGATGTTCACGAAGTAGTGATGAGCAACCAAGACATCCCAGTAGGGAGGCAGGGGATCAGTATGACTGACCTGAAGACTGAGTATGGCGAACAAAAGGTAGCCAAGGCTATAGTGGCATGGAATGTGCTAATCACGTCAATCTCGTACATGCCGATTCTGTCGGAAATCGTGTCGGACGGGAGCCCGAGTGGTGGCTGGAGGATTTTCCTCAAATATTACGAGCCACAAGCGAAAGCGGAGAAGAAAAGACTTTTGAAAGAGTACCATGGCTTCGCAATGCATGCAAACGAACATCCACAAGAGTACTTCGGTAGGTTCTCTATTTTGCGGAGTAGACTAGCGTCGCACGGGACAGTGTATCCTGACAACGAAGCAAACGACCACCTAGTGTCTGCACTCTCGTCCGACTACAAGATAGAGAAGAAACTTTTGGACCGCACCCCTGATTTGACTTTTGAGCAGATTGAGGATTCCGTGAAGGAGGCCCACACGGACCTGGTGCGCGCACGGGAGGAGGAGCAAAAGAGTGGCGTGGGGCACGCCTTCGTCGCTTCCGGTGCGCCCCGGGGCGACGGACGTGTCCCAAATGGGTCGAGTGGGAGCGGCGGCGGACAGGACGGCAAAGGCGACGGTCGGAGCAGGAGCGACGAGACCAGAGGAGACAGGCGCTGTCATTTTCATCCGTGGTCAAACCACACCAACGCGGAGTGCTACCAACAGCAGCGGGAAAAGGAGAGAAAGCAGCGGCAGCAGCAGCGGCGGCAGCAGTCATCACAGCAGCAACAACAACAGCCGCAGCAGCCTCAACAGCAGCATCCGCAGCAGTCTCAACAGCAGCATCCGCAGCAGCCTCAGCAACAGCAGTACTACCATCCTCGTCCCCAACAGCAGCAGCAGCAGCAGCAGCAGCAACAAGGCGGCCGCGGTGGGGGGGGCTGGCGTGGTGGACCCCAGCACGGACCTCATGGCGGACGCGGAGCGCAGCAAAGGTATGGAAACTCTGTCCCCCCTCGCCCGCAGCAGCAGCAATGGCGACCCTCGCACGGGCATGCAAACGTGATGCACCACGAACACGGTGCACCGCCCTACGGGGGGCCCGCAAATAGTAGCGAGTATGGGGGTTGGGAGCAGCCGCAGCCACAGTACCAGCAGCCTCCGCCTGACTACACCCAGCAGCAGCAGCCGTACTACCCGCCACCGACGCCTTACTACGAGCAGCAACAGCCGCCGACACAGCCTCCGCCTCCGCCGACGTTCCAGCAGCAGCAGCACTCGACTCATGCCCCGCCCCACTCCTCTCCTCCCGGAGCAGCAGCACCGGCCCCGGGCTCCCTCCACTTCTTGATGGCACGTTTCGTGTCTGCAGGCGAGATTGTTCCGAGTGGTGTTGTAGCGAGTACCGAGCGTGAGAATGGTAATGGATTTGCTTTGTCTGCGCAGAACTCGCTTTCCCATTTTGGTAGAGAGAAGTTTTGGGCCGACAGCGGTGCCACGAACAGCTTTGTTAGCAGTAGCCACCACATGTTCGATTTGAGGCCAGTGCCGACTGGTAAAGAGTACATACAGGTTGGAAACGGTGCTTATTTGCGCGTGCAGTGTGTGGGGAAGGTCAACATGGCCTTTCACATGCAAGACCAGTCAGGAGAGCATGATTTTTGCGTGCAGATGTCGGACGTGTACGTTGTGCCTGGAATCACCTTCAATCTTTTTTCGTTGCACCACACGCAGCGTAGGCAGCGTATCGTTCTAGACGAGACCGGCGTCCACCTATTCGATGGTAGGCTTTCCTTTGCATACTCTGACGTAGGATGCTCGCTCTGGGCTACTCGATTGCCCCAGGATTATACTGGTAGCGCTGTGACCTACAGCCCCGATGCCCCCCCCCGTGTTTCTGCCCAAGCGTCCCCGCCTGGCGTTGGCACAGGCCTTGTTGCGGCAAACCCCCCTTTCCCACAGAGTGCAGGAGCGGGCGCGACTTCGAGTGCGAGTGCGAGTACCGGCTTCCAGTCCGTCGCTGCGGTCGGCGTTGTACCTGCGAGTTCTGGCTTCCAGTCCGTCGCAACGGCCGGCGTTGTACCTTCGACTCCTGGTGTCCAGCCCACCGGCTCCGACGGTGTAGTACCTTCGACTCCCAGCGTCCCCTCCACCACTTCCGGTGTAGTGCTGCCGATTTGTGCTTTTCCGTCTGTCGAAGTAGACCCAATCCCCACG